TCGAGAGGCAAAGTGGACACAACTCTCTTTATTAAGCGTCAAGGAAAGCACCTGATATTGGTACAAATTTATGTTGATGATATTATATTTGGGTCAACTAACATGAATCTCGTGATAGAGTTTTCTAACCTTATGTAGGGTGAATTTGAGATGAGTATGATGGGGGAGCTCACATACTTTCTCGGATTGCAAATTAAACAGCTTGAGGATGGAACGTTCGTGAGTCAAACTAAGTACTGTTTGGAACTTCTCAAGAGATTTGGCATGCGCAAACTTGAATAAAAATGAAAATGGTAAGGATGTAGAGGTAAAACAGTATCGAGGTATGATCGGTTCACTTCTTTATCTTACCGCATCTAGACCAAACATTATGTTTAACGTGTGTATGTGTGCTCGATATCAATCGGCTCCTAAGGAATCCCATTTGAAAGCTATTAAGCGCATCCTTCGTTACCTTTCTGGTACTCCGAAGTATGGGCTATGGTATTCCCAAGGAAATGATTGCTCATTGGTAGGCTTCTCCGACTTTGATTTTGCTGGGTGCAAATCAGATAAGTAAAGTACTAGTGGTACTTGTCACCTATTTTCAAATTCTTTGGTAAGTTGGCATAGCAAGAAATAAGTTTTAGTTGCTTTGTCAACCGCTGAAGCGGAATATGTTGCCGCCGACAGTTGTTGCGCTCAAGTCTTGTGGCTTAAGCAACAATTGTTGGATTTTAACCTCAAACTTGAACATATTCCTATTTTTTGTGACAACACAAGTGCCATTAATCTTACCAAAAATCCGGTATTGCATTCACGCACCAAACATATCGAAATTCAACACCATTTTCTTAGGGATCAGGTAGAGAAAAGGGATGTTATTTTTGAACATGTGGATACTAAAAATCAACTAGCGGACATCTTCACAAAGCTACTAGCCACTGAACCTTTCTTTCATATCTGACGAGAACTTGGTATTCTCGATATTTCGGATCGCGTATCATAATGTTACTTGTTCGTCTGTTTATTCATTTATGATTATATTCTCGTACATCTAACAATTTAAGGTTGTTATAAGTACAATTGTATAAGTCATCAAGCTATCCTTGGTTTTGAGATGGTGTTATTCCTCTTTTCTCTCTCTCTCTCTCTCTCTCTCTCTCTCTCTCTCTCTCTCTCTCTAATGTCTCGTGTTTAAAAGTTGTATCATATGTTAAATATTCTCAATATGACATTCTCTATGCAGTATATCTGTTTGTTTGCTTATTGTTGTGTGGCATTGTATTTATGCATCAAATATCTGCTCATATATGCATAATTTTGAAAATCTGCATTTTTTTGCCTGTGAAGGCGTTCACCGACATGGCCGATCCATAACTCAATCCCCATTTCGATAACAGGGGACGAGGACGAGGCCGAGAACATTAGGATCATTCGTGCATTTCTATGTTGTTTTTGTGTTCTTATGTTTTCTATTTTGTTTTGAGCACAATGTTTGGTTTTAGCTTGTTATGTATTTTATGAGCTTTTTATTGTACTTTCTCTATTTATCCATTGAGTTACTTTTTCATTATCCATATTTTGTGTGAATTTTGGTTAATGTTAGTTATTACCTGCTGAGTTTTTTTTTTGTTGAATTGAACATATTCTTCTTAACCTTTCTCTTTCTCTTTTTGATGTTGACAAAGGGGGAGAAGAGAGTGTATCAAAGCCAAGAAGATCACACCACCTGCTCACAAGTATTTTTGTATAGGTTTGCAAAAGAAAGGGGGAGTTTATGATACTATATTATAAATATTGCAAGTTGTTCTCATTGGCTTTGCATAGGTTGTCATCATCAAAAAGGGGGAGTATGTGAGGACAAACCCTCATGTAACATATGGTATTGAGTTTCGATGATGACAATACGCAACCATGGATGAATCGGTCTTATCGGTTCTACATACACAAGACAATTGCAATATTTCATCTCTCATATCCTTCTTATATCCTTCTAACTTGGCATATTCAATTTAATATATGTGGAAGATCATTGGTTATGTTTAAATGTATTAAAATTATAAATATATGCATTTTTACAGATTTACAGGCTTTGAGTCGACCACTGGTCGGCGCATAAAGCAGTACAAACTCCCACTGATCGGCGCACGCTGACCTATGGTCGACCACAGGGTCAGCGCATGAAGCAGTGCAATTTCTCATTGGTCGGTGCACGCCGACCTATGGTCAACGCATGCAGTCAACACTTTTCAGATTGCCTAAAACTGCAGGTTATGCATCGACGCATAGTCCTGCTATGGCCGACCGTTCGCGCGTTTGTTCAGTTAGTGAAGTCTTTCTACTTTGGTTGAAAAGCTGTTAAGTGTGTTGGTTGGTTGGCTACTATATATAGAAGGTTTTTTCATTTTTAACAACAACAAGTGAGATTTTGAGTCAATTGTGCAAGAAACAAGAAAAGTGAAACAGGTGCTACGAAATCTCTTCATCTTCATCCTCAACAATTCACAACACAATAATTACACACAACAATTCTTGCTGTGGTTTGTGTCTCGTTCAAGGTGATAAGGTCTGAAGCCGTTGATTGGGAATCCGGTTCGGGTGGAGTTTGTAGCAGGTTTTATCCTCCAAGATTCGGAGAATTTGGGGGTTTTTGGTACGGATCGTCTTTACCAACTTCAGCTGAGCGAAGGTGATTGAGAAACGGAAGGTTTCATCAGTCTAGTAGCGGGAATCAGTGAAGTGTGCAAGAGAGTTCCGGGTTCAATTTGTGGTGATTGAGATCAGCCGGGCCGAAGGTTTGAAGAACGGAAGGTTGTTCAACAAAGGGGCTGGAATCGGAGGTCTACTCACAACGATCGAAGAACTTGATTCGACTCGAATCAAGGAACAAGGAGAGAAAAACATCATCAACATCAAGAGAACTTGTTTGTATATTTTACTTATCTACCCTTGTATAAACATTTCAACTCTACAGGTGATATCTATTATATTGATCTCAATTCCAGATTTAGAATTGAGGGCAGACGTACCCCGAAACGAGGACGGCGGGGGAACTGCCTCAACAAATCTTTGTCTCCTTTATTTTTAGCACTTTCATTTTGGAGTTAGAATTTGAGTAATTTTAGTTTAAGCAATTCCATCAAAATTTGCATTGAATTGAGTAAGTGGTTTTTACTGTTTTGAACTCTAGTACAATAATAGATTGTACAAGGAATTTGGAATTACTTGCTCAAGCCAAAATTCACTTGGAGTGTCTCGCACACCAAGTGTTTGATAAATTGCCTAAACCAAAATTCACTTGGATTATTTGCATAGTTTGTGGTGATTGTGGAGCATTGGAACTAGTCCTACTTATTAGTGGTAAAATCAATTGATTAGTGTGACTAGTATGTTGAATCTAAGTTTTGCTCATTATCACTTCCATAAGGCTAGACGCATATCCGGTCTTCTAATAACAATTCGTTTTAGACGGTAATTTTTCCAAGGCCGCTTCCGCAAAAACAAATATTTTTAAATCCAATTTTTAATTGGTAAGCGCCGACTGAATTTTTAATTGGGATCTATTCAACCCCCTTCTAGATCCAAGCCATCGTCTAACAAATGCTTATCTTCCATCTGAACCATTGTTAGAGCTTCTGATTACAATGACAAATCCCAATTTCTCGTCCTTGATGCTGACCCATTGTAATGTTCGCGAACAATAAACTCTTGTCTATTTATAAATTATGCAGAACATCTACCTCGGCAACAACAGATCAATCACCCAGTTTAACATCACCCAAATATGCATATCCGGACCACACCAAACTTTATCCGGAGATACATATCCATACTCAATGTTCATTTTTTCTGCTAAAAAAACACATTAATGCAAGGAATGAGGGATAAAATGAATGAACTTTACATGCAATTCCAGCTTCTTCTACTCCATTTGATTCAATGAAATACACGAAAGATGTTTTGGTGTTGAAAAGTTGATTGAGAATGAAAGAATTTTTTTTAAGAGTTTTGAAAATGAAGTGTAGTTTCAACATGAAGAACAAGATCATGCAAGATGGTGTTTTATCTAATTTTCCGTTTGACATTTTAGAATATGCAATATCCGAAAACATCATTGATTCGTTAATTAAACAATCTCGGTGTAAAGAGGATATTTCGAAAATGCTTCTCTGGATCAATCAAAATAGTATACGAAGATGTATCTCTGAATCATATTTTATTCAAAATAAAGTAGATCTCAAAAAGACGAAGACTGATGTAGTTTTAGGTGCGTTTAAAAATAAAATTTCAAATATATGAAGATCGTTTTCGAATTTCTAAAAATGTAGAACAAACCTTTTAACACGAAGAAAATAACATTTCCCTATCATAAATAAAATATGATTTTGTTTGTTTAATAAATACTTATTTTTATAAAAAAAATATAGATACTAATGATTATTTAATAAAAATAATGTCTTTATTTAATTTATTAGTGTAAAATATAAATAATTTTCACACTTTTACACACACAAAAAGTATATAATGTAATAATACACACAAATTAAACCAATAAAAATATATCATAGGTTTTTCTTGGTTCATAGAGGAAGTAGAATCTTCCAAGCAACTCTAAAGTCCAAACCAAACTATATCTGTGTGTGAATCTACACCTAATATAGAGAGCACTAACATATACAACAATCTTGCATAGCTATAGATTCTCATGCTTCTTCTCTCACTAAATTAAAGGTAAAGTTTTCATTATCATATCCATGTTTAATGATTATTATTACTTTGTTTGGTTTAATTGAATTTAAAGCTTGAAAGACTAATCTTTCTAATTTCATTTATTTGTGAATGAAAACCCTATATTTGATTTGTTCCAAATTCATACTAATTGCTTATGTTTTCTGCTTAATTGATTCAATTTTGACTTCAATTTTGGTTTTTTGTTTATTCTTCTTCATGTTTTTGTGAAAATCAAGTTGAATTTAGTGTCCTGAATAGTTTTATTTGTAGGATACAGATTCTAGGGTATGGAAACTCTTTCATATGGTTCTGCACCATGTTGTCAAGTTGTGAACACAAAGACAAAATCAGTGAAAAATAGCTTGAATTCATCATCTCAATCAAAGGTTTCTTATGATAGAAAACATGGAGTTTGTTTTACCAATAATGTTTTCAAAATTGGGTCAGTGAGGTTTTTGGAAAAGGGTCATCAACAAAGAGGGTTTAGGTCACAAAGTGGGTTTGGAGGCTCTAGAAGATTGAAATTCAAGGTTAATAGTGGAAGGTATGGTGATTATGTGATTAATGAAGAAGAAGCAAGAGATATTGTAGGGATAGATGAACCTGCTTCCAAGGTTTTGATTCCTGGTTTGCCTGATGAGTTAAACGGTGAATCCGGTGCGATAGTAAGTAGTTGTTTTAAGGGATGGAAACCTAAATTGAATGTACACTATGAAAAAGCTGGGTGTGAAAATGTGGACTCTCCGAATGTTCTCTTTTTGCCAGGTTTTGGGGTTGGTTCTTTTCATTATGAGAAGCAGTTGATGGATTTAGGTCGTGATTTTCGAGTCTGGGCGCTGGATTTTCTAGGACAAGGAATGTCTTTGCCTTTTGAAGATCCTACTCTTTCTAAAGAAGATGGGATTACTTCAAGTGGAAATGTTTCTTCTTGGGGTTTTGGAGATGAAACCGAACCTTGGGCGACTGAGCTTGTGTATTCGGTTGATTTATGGCAAGATCAAGTTCGGTACTTCATTGAAGAGGTAAATGAGTTACACTGTTTGTTAGCACCAAATTTTTAGCAATTTCATTCCAAAAATGTGTGGAAAATTTGCTTTTTTCTATGCGGCTTTATACTTTTTCTAACGATTTCCTAAGCTATGTTATTCATTGGTTCAGGCGCTATTTGGATAAATATCTTAATTAAGTGAGCTTATCATATAAGTGCTTATGTATATAAACTATTTCAATAATAAAAGATGAAATAAAGTCAAGCTGTTTTCATAAAAGTTATAAGCATTTTTTCACATGCTATGCTAGTGAGCTTATGGAAATAAGCTGAGAATAACTTATGGACTTGTCATAAGCTCTTTCAGTATACTCTCCCAATCGGTCTCACAAATGCTTGTTAGTAGATAAGCTCAAATAAATCAATAGAGACAGACACTTAATGGCCTGTTTGGAGTGGCTTACTGGAGCTTATCTACTGACATAAGTTTTGTGACACTATATGGTAATCCTTATCAAAACAACTTACGACATTTTTCTTAAACTTTCGAGTTTATTTTATAAGTTCTCCAAGATAACATACGAAAATAACTTAGAACATAGATCAAAACAATTTAAATTTATTTTATTTTTTGTTATAAAAATAGCTTATGCAAGCTTATTCATACTTGTGCTATAAGCTCTAAATAAGTTGTTTATCCAAACAGGCCATAGTTATGAGAAATTTATACCTTGTTTTCTGGTTTTGCCAAATTCATGATGGCATGTAGTTGAAAAAATTGGTAAGTTAATTTAATTCAATTCACTTAGTTCGTGATTTTGGACTCTTTGCAACTATTTTATTCACGAAGTTCCTCTCATTCACAGCTACCATCAAGAAAGCTTTCTACAATTGTTGCATTTTAATACTTCCTATACTTATAATGCTTGATCAAGTCTGTAATGTTGCAGAATTTTTCTGCAATAATAGTTGTAGAGTAGATTTCTTTCTCTATATTTTTGTTCTTAATGTCATTATACAAATTGATTCGTTACAGGTCATCGGTGAACCGGTCTATCTTGTAGGAAACTCACTTGGAGGATATGTTGCTTTATATTTTGCCGCATGCTATCCTCATTTAGTGAAAGGCGTGACATTGCTTAATGCAACACCTTTTTGGGGGTTTCTACCAAATCCAATAAAATCGCCCGGACTTGCCAAAATATTTCCATGGGCTGGAACGTTCCCTCTACCTTCAAATATAAAGAAACTTACCGAGTTACTGTAAGATTGCCTTCGTTTTTTCTCTAATCCTGATATGCTTTCATGTTTTTGTTTGTCACCTACATATTCATTCGTTCATTCATTCATCTGCGAATGATATTATGAATGTTATTCTGCTTAACGGGCCTACTGATTCTGATTAACTTGTTTTCTTCAGGTGGGAGAAAATTAGTGATCCGAAAAGTATTGCGGACGTACTTAATCAGGTTTATGCAGATCATTCAATAAACGTGGATAACGTTTTTTCACGCATAATCGAAACCACTAGGCATCCGGCTGCTGCAGCATCATTTGCTTCAATTATGTTTGCTCCTCAAGGCGAATTATCCTTCAGCGAAACGTTATCCAGGTAAACACAACTATATCTCCTAATTAATTAATATCAGATACGCGAGAGTACAGAAAGTTAAGCGTTTTCATGGTGTCTGTATTTTAGATGTCGAGAAAACAAGGTGCCGATTTGTCTTATGTACGGAAAAGAAGATCCCTGGGTGACGCCGCTGTGGGGACTTCAGGTTAAAAGGAAGGTTCCTGAAGCTCCGTATTATCAAATCAGCCCCGCTGGTCATTGCCCTCATGATGAAGTCCCTGAGGTATGCAGTTCCTAACTATTCGCTCGATTGATTCGAATTAACTAAAGCTCATGAACCATTTGGTTGATTCCTGTTACATAGTGAATATGCATGTGAATTTATCTATTTCAAGAACAGTACCCGTTGTTGTTCGTTCCTCGTTGTTTAGCTCTTAATGATGTTCATGATCATAATAACTAATAAAAGTTCTACTCGTTTACAGGTCATAAATTTCTTACTTCGCGGATGGATTAAAAACCTAGAATCTGAGGGCTCTGCCTCATTACCTCTGCTTGAAGACATAGAAACTATGAATCACAGTATTGAAAGGGAGTTAGAATTTCCCAGGAAAGGATCGAAAAAATCAGTAAAGGTCAGATATTTTGTTTCTAGTATCTCACTTTGGGAGAGGATAAGATCTTACATCAAATACTACTCAAAGTTCAGGAAGTTGGTATCTGAATCCCAATGACATGGTGAACTATGCCACCATCAAATATAAATCCACTTAGTGTATTGTCTTGATTTCCTCGTAGTTTGTATCAAAGTATTCATACACAATTGTTTTAGAATAAGAAGTCAATGTTGTATATATAAATCATATTTTAACCAATAGTAAACACCAGAGTAAAGATTTCATTCTGAAAAAAACTAGTTTGGACTCTTGGGTTTGTTTAGAATCTGAAACTCTCAGGTTTGTTTAGAACCTGAGACTCTTGAGTTTGTTTAGAACCTGAAAGAGATGGGAAATGCAAAGGGAAATGAAGCATAGATTCTTTCTTTGCATGCAAGTTTGAAGATGTTGATGTCTTTGAGAAATTCTCAAAGACTCTTCCAGTCATTTTGACTAAAAAGCTTAGGTTTAAACAGAATATTTTGAAAATAAGAAATTCTGATCCAAGTCACGATTGATGTTGCAGTTATACCAAAACGAAGAAAATGACTTTTGGTCCTGTTTCCTAAAATACTTTAGGTTCTTTTGGTTTGAGACCATCTCATATCCTTGTCGTTGAGTCGACTGGCTGTGAATTGCATGGCAACGACACTTTAGGCTCTTCCGGTTTGAGTCCACCATCACCATAGAGATTCCTCACATCGATGACACGAGTTGAGAAATGAGAAGCGACAATCCTCCAAAAAAGATGAAGTAACCATGCATAGACAACACAATTCGAGAAAAGTAAAGGTAGCAATTCCCCGAAAAAAATGAAGTAACCATGAATATGGTTCAAGCTTGATGCTAGCTTTGACTATAATATTGTATTAATCAAAAAGACCTCAGAGAAGTGGAGAACTTTTGTTGGTTACACCGATCTTAACTGAACATGTCTTAGAGATTCCTACCCATCTCTACACATAAACAACTTTGCGCAGCTCGTTCGATTACAAACTTTTGTCTTTCATGCATGCGTACTCCGACTAAAACTAGATACTATGTATGTGTTGGACTGAGAAAAAACAACCTTCGTGAATTAGCAAGCTAATTATCAATACAATGTGATGTCCTTTGACTTGAAGAATGCATGGTTAACATAATGGATGATGATGAACAAGATCTTCATAGAAGAAATAGGCAAAACACTAGACAGGTGTAGAACCAAGCGAAGGCTGTGACCCAAAGGATGATACACTGACTAAACAAGCAGTATTTGACTGAAGGAAAGGTTATTCGAACCGAATGAAGGTTACTAACCCGAAGTTGACAGTATTTGAACCAAAGCAAGGTTGCTAACTGCGGGGGTTCAGTGTTTAACAGACGGCCTGTGATTAATCGAAAAGAATGAGTGATTAACTAAGAGGAGGTGATTAACTCAAAAGAAACTCAGTATCTTAACAGACCGACTGTGGTTACCTGAGGAAAAGGGTTATTGGTTTAAACAGGCGGACTGTGATTGACCAAAAGGCGGGTGATTAACCAAGAGAAGGTGATTAACCCAAAGAAAAAGCTGGTTTTAACGGGCGGACTATGATCAACCAAATGTCGGGTGATTAGCCGGGAGAAGGCGATTAAAGAAAAAGCTCAGTATTAACAGACAGACTGTGATTAACTAAAGAAAAGAGGACGTTGGTGTTTAACTGTTAAACATTGATGACCCAAACAAGAAGGAGAAAGAACCAAGAGAAGGTTGCAAACTCTGGTAAGGAATAAGTTAGAACAGGAAGACTCTGTAAACCATAGAAGAAAGATTTATTTAGCTGAGGACGAAGGGAATTAGGTTTAAACTGAAGGACAGTTGATCAACATAGAAAAAGAATGATTACAAATCTCTGGGGAAACCAAGAATGGTGATTGGCCGAGAGAGAAAAGAGCGTTGGCTTGAAAGGAAGAAGCCACTTTCAAAGAGGGGGTAAGGGTGCAAGTGACAAAGGATCGATTCGACTGGAGAAAAAATGATACCACAGTAAAGAGATAGAGGTGACTATTCCAGGCACAGGGTCATTCGTCCCCTACCTGAAATAGTCAGAATGAGTGTAGGAATTCCATTCTCATTCCTTCTCTAACACCAAAGTGCGGTGCAAGAGCGAACGACGTAATGCCACAACCTTTGTACAGAGCTCTAAAGCATTGCGAATCTTCAACTCTATCGGGGAAGAAGGAAGGACAAAGATCTAGAAGATTCAAAGGAGAAGAAAGAGAGAAGGATCGACTAATCAAAACGAAGTTTTGATTTATCAATCAAAAGGGGTATGATGCCAACAATTTTTCAAAGGGATGAAAAACCATTAAAGCAAAAGGGTGATTTATTGATTATACAAAATTGACTTTATTCCAAAGAGGGACAAACTCAATGCCAACATGAATAAAAGTGAAAAAACAGTACCAAAACAATTAGCATGTGTAATAACTCAAACTTTTCCCTTAGATTAGTCGTTTTATTTTGCATTCCATTTCACTTTTGCATTGCATTTAATTAATCACTAACAGGTTTGTGTAGTCTGTTGATTTTGCAGAAAAAATCCCATCTTGCGCAATTCAGGCGGTGGAGGGCAAAATGGTCATTAACTGGCAGTTTGGCGACAATTCATGAGCTTGAGTCGTCATCAGGGGTTCCTCAAGTGATTAGGGTTTGCGTCTCCGAGTTATGTGACTTATTTGATGATGAGTTGAAGTTTACGACAGTTTGGACGTCAGGTTTCTCGTGACACAACACAGTTTATTCAAGAGTCGAGTTTCAGTCGTCGGTTGGATTTCAGAAATGTTGTTTGATTCCTAAACCATATGGAGTTGAATATGTTGAGATATAAGCGGTCTCGGGATAAATCGGTGCGAGAATGTGCTTTGAGGAATTTATTTTGACAGACGCACGTTTTTCTGCTTTCCACTGGTCAACGGTCAATTTTAAGGGAACAGTAAAATTTTGGTGAGCGTTGGATTTATAATGAACATTTGTTGTTTTGATCATGACTGTTAGTCGAACTGATTCAGGTCGAGACGTGATTTGAATTTTCAATACGGAAGATAGTTCGTTTTTCCGTTTAACTGAATTTCTCTGCTTATTTGTTCAAGATCATATTCACCGTTAATATCAGGCGCAAATTAACTTGCAAGATGATTCGTTTGAACTCAGTTACGTCGAATTTAGATCGGGCAAAATGATTAATTGTCGAGGTCGGAGTTGGAACGTCGCAGCTTAGTCGGATAAATCTCATTGGAGGAATGTCATCAAGTTGATTTATTTGGATGAGTCTAGTCGGAAGAAGTTAGTCATTTGAATTTAATCCAACGAGTTTGAATGAGATGAAGTTAGTCAGGTGAATTTATTTGGATGAGTTTAACCGGATGAATTTAGTCGGGTAAATGGAATCAAATGAATTTATTGGTGTGGATGTAATCGAAAATTTTAATCGGAGAAATTTGAGCGGAAAATAAAGAATGGAATTTTTTTTATTTAAAATTTATTTTTTATTACAAGGGTGAGAATAATTACAAAGGAAATTACAAATTGCAAATTTCAATTCCTAAATCCTAAAGTTCTAATTTTCTAAATTTGTCTTCGTATCCGACTCCTCGACTTTTATTTTTCCGAACCTGCAAAGCAAAGCAATAACAGATGAAAATAATAGAATTAATTAAAATTGGTTTTTTTTTCGGTTCTGATACCCTCAGTAAAGAGTCATCATTGGGTATATCGGGAGGGCAACGACAAAGACGTCGCCAGCTCCCCACTTATTTTTTCCGACTTCGGCACAAGATCCGACATCATCTGTTTAGTTTATTCCGAGAGAGAGAGAGAGAGAGAGAGAGAGAGAGAGAGAGAGAGAAATATTATTTGGAAAAGTGTCCATAATCACCAAAACCAATCCGGACTCAGAAAATCCATGTATATCCAAATTGCAAAGCCCGTGTCCAACAGAACCAAATCATATCCAGACGTAAAAATCCAATGAGTCAAAAATCTGGATATCCATCAGAAGAAACATTCATATCCAGTTCACAATGAACAAGCAAGTCCGAAAATTCAGTTGTTCCAACAAAACCAAATCATAACCGAATCCCCAGAAGTAGGAAGAACAATAGCAATTCCTCCACAATGTCCTCTGTTTCAAAAGGAAATTTTACCCCATACCCCTACAATTATACCCATACCCATACACTAAAATATTTTGGACCAAAATATCCTCGTATAAAAATTTATAATTTTTTTCATTTGTTCACCAGAAGACTCTTTGCAAGTCTTCCGGTTCATATTTTTTTCGTTTGTTCACCGGAAGACTTTTTGGAAGTCTTCTGGTTTACATTTTTATCCGTTTGTTCACCGGAAGATTTTTTGCAAGTCTTCCGGTTCATATTTTTTTCGTTTGTTCATCGGAAGACTTTTTGGAAGTCTTCCGGTTCATGTTTAAGATTTATTAATTTCATATAAACACCATTTTAGTATATTTTTATCTATTATGCTTAATATATATAAATTTTTTATAAATAGAGAATTTTTTTAAAAAATGTTTTCTATTTGCTATAATTATCATAATATTATCACATTAGTATTATATATTTAGAATTTGCAAACAAATTTTACTAAACTTGCAAATTTACCGTATTCAATATATTTAATCAAATGAAAACATATGTGATAAATCAATAATGTATTTTAATTTAAAATGATCACAATAATATAACTTCAAAAAAACAAAAACTAAATCGAACTTTCAATTAAATAAATCAACCAAATTAAAATATAAGTAATAATTTCACTTTATTTAATATTTTTAATAAAATAAAAATATAAGATATAAATAAATAATATATTTTATTTAAAGTAAGTACAATATGGAACATGCAAAAAAGTTATAAATAAAAAAAGATCAAACAAAAATGAAAAACAAATAATAAATTTATATTCTTAATTTTTTTAATTAAATAAATATATGGGTAATAAAATAATATTGTTTTATATTTATAATTATGTGAGTTCTAAAGTATAGATTAAATACTATATTCATAGTAGTATTCAAAATTAAATAATCAATAAA